GAACACATCTTAGCTGAGTTCATAGTTGTAAGCTGATGATCACCAGGTGATTTATGGAACACATCGTAGCTTTGTGCAATCTGATTTTAAGTGCAGACTTCAAAGTGCGACAGAAATAAAATAAAAATTAGGCATACTAGCAGCACCGAATAATGGTGTAAAATATGCACCTTCGTGCGTGTGAATTAATCCTTTTGTTACGAACTTAGTGATCCCCCGCACTCGTTGTCACGGGACTATTTTGCTACATATTTCTATGTGATTCATTGTATGAAACATCAATATTAAAGTAATAATATAAAAAGCTAAAACTAAAAATACACACAATTTATTATGTTCGATTACTATATAGTTGTAAAATGTTTATTAAATATACATGGCATAATAAAATGAAAATTCTCATGCATATTTGCATGTTTAATGGGTTTTTTTTTCATGCATGTCATGATGTAGTGGCATGCTTGCATGTTGAGAGACATATGGTAGTGAGGGTGAGCCTTTTCTCATGCATGTCGTGTGATGATTTGATATGCTTGTATGTTGAGAGAAATAGTTAGTGGGGGCTAGCTATTTAGATATAGAAGATAAGAACAAGGAAAAGCAGCAATTATAATGACAGCTTGGCTGTCAGGGAAAGAAACAGTAAGCAAAAATACCGAAATTGTTGCACAACAATTAAAGGATAGAGATGATCTGCATCTTAGTAGAGCCAGATTTCCTCGCCTTCTCTAGACTAATCTAACTATATATATATATATATATATATATATATATATATATATATATATATATATGCTTCGTTATCTCTTCCAGGCAGAGAGCACATTTATGTTTCAGAGGAAACATTTTTGTAAGCATAAGTATTTTTCAATGTGAATTTCTTAACATCTTAATTGTGCTGCTGGTCATGATGCCATTATTGTGCATACTTCCTGTCAATTTTTTCTGCAATTCTGCACGATGTCCCATTTCTAAGTAGGTCATACGAAAATTTGAAACTGAACTAGCTATAATAGTGAATTCAGATGTTGCTCCAATGGACAAAGCAATGTTACCGAAAACTGGAGTGGCAAAAGCAAAACAGAAAATTGAGTGCTTTTCCCTGCCCGTTTGGTCAAAACCATCATGCACTAGACAGAGGGGCATAAGGAAAACCAGTTCATTCACTAATGTATTTGAGAAGAAATTACTGAAAGAAAATTATGCACATCAACATAATGGCATGTACAGCAGATAATATATTTAAGATAAACAAACTTGAATTTAATTTAAACATGGTTCAAGGATGACTGGTTATGTTTTTATTTTTTGAAAACATTCATGTACACTACTTAATAGACGTTCACGGTTTACCATGACAAAAATCCTTAGTGCTGCCCAAAATGAATGTGGCAAGTAACTTATATTACAAACAAATACAGCACCAAACAACAACTTTCACCTGTGGACTTTGTAGATATAGGAGAGGTAAAAGCCAAATCAAATGAAAACATGTGGATTTAGTGACACGTAAAATCATCTACAAATCAAGCTTACCTTAAAAAACAGAAACTATGCACATATAAGAACTGACGATTCCCAATGTAACACATAACTTTGTTCATTTGTACCATGTGAGTGGGATAGAAAACACCACTGTTCATTCCATTCCATATCCTGCCCTTACTTCTCATTTTCTCTTTTCTATATTCCAAGTTCTAGCAGAAAACTCCGCCTATGTCTTCTAGGCATAGCCGGTCCCAAGCCCGGGTAAAGGAGGAGGGTTGTGATAGGCGTGGCGAGCCAACGTAAAAACTAGCCAGTCCCATAGGTATGAAACCCATTTGAGCGAGAGTAGTACTAGGATGGGTGACCTCCTGGGAAGTCCTCGTGAAAGGGTTTCATATCTAAGGGTTGTGATCGGCTTGGCGAGCCAACGTAAAAACTAGCCAGTCTTTTGGGTATGAAACCCATTTGGGTGAGAGTAGTACTAGGATGGGTGACCTCCTGGGAAGTCCTCATGAAAGGGTTTCATATCTAGCCTACCCCAACTTGTTTGGGATAAAAGGCTTCGTAAGTAAGTAAGTAAGTAAGTATATTCCAAGTTCTAGCAGAACCAACTAATGCCTTCTTCCCTAACTAAGAGGTGTCCTCTGAGATGACTTAGGGGGTGTTTAGCTATGCTAACTTTGGCTTATAAGCCAAAAGGCACCAATTTATGTATTTTTGGCTTACACCATCATGTAACAATATCCAGCCAAAAGGCAAAATCCCATGAATAGGTGTTTTTTTGGGCTTATCAGCCAACCTAAGCCTAACCAAACACCTCCTTAATACATGATGATAACCTAGATCAAGGAAAAAGTAAACTGTAGGCGCTAAGCAAGTGTGTTGCCTCTGCCTAGTGCTGAGCTCGCTTAAGCGGAACCTAGGTTTCTGCACGGAAGCCGTGCGGACAGGGAACAGAGAACACTCAGATTTGTGTTTTGGAAACATATAACGCATGTATAAGACTAAACAGCAGATTTCAAGGGGAAATAACAAGCAAGTATAATCATAAGTCTAAAACAACAGATTTCAAGGAAACTAGCACAGCACAGAGCAGCAGCCAGCAGCAAAGCACAGCAAGCAGCAGTAGCAGAGCTAGCAGCCTAGCAGTAGCAACACCACGAATAGACAGCAGCAGCTAGCAGCACACCCACACGACCACATTTCAGTGCTCCACTAATCAACAGAGCAGCATATCAACAAGGGGAAGAGGGAGCACGAGAAGAAGAACTCAAGCAAGAGAACAGCTCGCAGTGGGGTTCCTTCACTAGAGGGGCAAGTTCAGGGAAGGGGAGCTTGAAAGCTAACGGAAAGGGCGCGGTACGGGGAAGAGGAAGAGGTACCGCCCGCAAGACTAGGAGGAGCCCAAGGTGCGGCGGCCGTCTGGACGAGGACGCCAGCGGCGCAAGGTCGCATTGCTCAGACGGGTCGCCACTGCCAGGCACAAGCTCTCCTCTGCCTCACTACATTTTAATATGAATTGAATGGTACAATTTTTCTGACATATGACACGCTTTGTTAGTTGAACGGATGGTCAAAGATGAAACTCGAAATATGTATGTGCCATGTAAATAGGAACAAAGGGAGTATGGGTATATTTGGATTGTGGCCAAAGTATATCCTACCAAAATTTTGGTCATGACCAAAAATTTGGTCATCGTTTGGATGGTTGCCAACTTTTTGGCATGCCAATGCACTCAACTCTAATTCATTTTTCTTGCCAATGTCGGCCAGCTCATGGACAACCAAAAATTTGGCTAGCCAATGTTTTAATGGGACAACTTTGGGCATAAACCAAACACACATAGTAAAACCAGGATGTAAGCCCAGCCACTTATATGGAAACCAGAAGTTATTGTTCTGGGGATCTCATACAATGTGAAATGACACAAAGGTCAATACTTGTGTTCAGGTTCAGTGTTGGGTCATTAGACGCAGATATTTCTACTAGCTGTTGGTTGTACTTGAGAAACAATTAATATCATTTTGATTTATCAAGAAATATAGTAAAGAAGAAAGAGAATAAGACAAAGAGAGCCCAACAAAGTAACTATAGTTTCAACGAAGCATTCCAGACAGCTAAGACTCCTCCTAGCATAGCCACCATTCAATCATTACATCTAACAAGATAATGTTGAGTAAGCAAATTTTCTCGCCTCTCAATATAACAACCCATTCAGCCTGACACATTCCACTTCGTATCAAAAGGTTGTCAAATGTTCCAAGATAGAACACAGTATGAATTTGCAATTAACTTTCCCTATCAAACACCTTAAAAATTCACAATGGAAAAGAATGAAATACTGAAATATAACTCATTCTGAAACTGAATTCACGACCAGTAAGTTGCAACTCGGCACCATATAAACTCGTCCAAATATGCATCTACAAAATTTCCCAGCACAGCTATTCTCTCTAAATTTAGAACAGATACAACATTGTATATATAGCATTTAAATATGTATAATCCTTGCAGCATCGAAATAACAGAAATCTCTCTTGCGAACAGTAACAGATCAAAATGCACAAAACCATATCTGCGACTAACTCTATGTTTTCGTCCATACAACTGGGTATAGTTTCCTAATTAGACCGATCAATCCCAAACCAAATCATACAACTCTATATAAAACCATAGGGGTAAAGCTTACCATTACCGCACAATTCATTCAGGCAGCCATGGCTCGTTCAGCCTTCCAGGTCTCGTACTTGGGATTGTCTGTCGGCAGCTCAAAGCGGCAGAGTGGGCAGGAGTTGCGCACCTCAAGCCATGGAAGGATGCAATCCTCGTGGTACCGATGGGAGCAAGGCATCATCTTGACGCGCTCCCCCGCCACAACCCCGTCCTTACACACGGAACACTCCTCTCCCTCCCCTTCCTCGCCGGCGGCGACGATGGCGGATGGGAGCGCCTTGACAGCCGACCTGGCTGCCGGCGGCTTGTTGGTGAGGAAAAGCCCATCCCCAACAGCGACGAGTACCTCATAGGCCTCCCTGTCAGAGGTGTACACGAAACCCTCGTTGGCGCCGGCGGGAGCGCTGGGCGGCATGTCGCCGAGCATCTCCCAATCGGGCTCCGGATTCTCTACCGAGGGTCCAGAGGCGAACGCGACTTCCTCCCAGTCGAATTCCTCGGCTGGTACGGAAGCCTCCAGCGGCAGATCTGGCTCCTCCTCCTCGTCCAATTGGAAGCAATCCCACCGGATCGAGGCCTCCTCCTCCTCATCGTTCTCCTCGGGGAAGCTGAGGTCGTCATTCCTGGGCGCGACGAGTGCGTCGTGGAAGAGGTCGCGCTGCACGGAGAGGAACTGGCTCCGGACGCGGTCGGCCGCCGACACCGACAGGGCGGAGGCCGAGGGATCTGGGCGGAACACCGGCACGAAGGCATCGTAGCATGAGGAGGACGTGGAGGAGGAAGCCTCTAGAGTTTGGAAGATCTCGTCGGCGGTGAGACGGTGAAGGAGATACGGGGAAGCCATGGGTGCGCGAGAGGGGACGGAAAAAATCGCGCCCTGGAGAGGCGTATCGGAAGAGGAAATTGACTATTTGTCATTGAGGTCCTTGAGGTTTGATTACAGAGGTTGATATACTGGGGAGTGGGTGGGTGGTGGGTTCCGTGTGTTGTGACTTGTGAGGCCTGGCATTCGGGTAATTCGATAAAAAAAATATTGGATTTCCAAAATTAACATCTGAGATTTTCTATAAAAATAGCTACCCGATAATTTGGATATCTGGAAATGGTTTCAGGTTCGAGTAGTTTCGAATTGCCTGAAATACAACATGGTGAACAAAAGCTGACGCTAGACGTGGAAGTACCGAAGGAGGAGGACACAAGTCGGTTGTGGCGTCGCATACGAGAAGATGAAGACTTATGTCGGCGTTGGAGCTCGTCCCCGTGGTGCAAGCTACCTAGGACGAGGCGAGTGGCGCTTGGTTGCGGGGCGACGCCGATATCTGGTCGCGGGTGGCGCGGTGGCTAGGTAGAGCGGTTGTGCGCTAGGGCATGCGAGAGCAGTCGGCTTTGCGTTGCAGGGTGAAACCCACAAATATAGGGGGTCGCAACAGCTTTCGAGGGTAGAGTATTCAGCTCAAATTTATTGATTCGACACAAGGGGAGCCAAAAAATATTTTCAAGTATTAGCAGCTGAGTTGTCAATTCAACCACACCTAGAAACTTAATATCTGCAGCAAGGTGTTTGGTAGCAAAGTAATATGATAGTGATGGTAACAGTAACAAAAGAGTAATGAAAGCAAAGTAATGTTTTTTGTATTTTGTAGTGATTGTAACAATAGCAACAGGAAAGTAAATAAGCGTAAACCAGTATATGGAAAGCTCGTAGGCATTGGATCAATGATGGATAATTATGCCGGATGCGGTTCATCATGTAATAGTCATAACATAGGATGACACAGAACTAGCTCAAATTCGTCAATGTAATGTAGGCATGTATTCCGAATATAGTCATACGTGCTTATGTAAAAGAACTTGCATGACATCTTTTGTCCTACCCTCCCGTGGCAGCGGGGTCCTAATGGAAATTAAGGGATGTTAAGGCCTCCTTTTAATAGAGAACCGGAACAAAGCATTAGCATGTAGTGAATACATGAACTCCTCAAACTACGGGCATCAACGGTAAGTATCCCGATTATTGTCACTTCGGGGTTAACGGATCATAACACATAATATGTAACTATAGACTTGCAAGATAGGATCAAGAACACTCATATATTGATGAAAACATAATAGGTTCAGATCTAAAATCATGACACTCGGGCCCTAGTGACAAGCATTAAGCATAGCAAAGTCATAGCAACATCAATCTCAGAACATACTGGATACTAGGGATCAAACCCTAACAAAACCAACTCGATTACATGGTGAATCACATCCAACCCATCACCGTCCAGCAAGTCTACGATGGAATTACTCACGCACGGTGGTGAGCATCATGAAATTGGTGATGGAGGATGGTTGATGATGACGACGGCGACGAATCCCCCTCTCCGGAGCCCCGAACGGACTCCAGGTCAACCCTCCCGAGAGGTTTTAGGGCTTGGCGGCGGCTCCGTATCGTAAAACGCGATGATTTCTTCTCTCTTATTTTTTTCTCCTCGAAAGCAGTTATATAGAGTTGGAGTTGGAATCAAGGGGTCTCCAGGGGGCCCACGAGGTAGGGGGCGCGCCCCCACCCTCGTGAGAAGGGTGTGGGCCCCCTGGTCTTCATCTTTGGCGAGGATTTTTTATTATTTATTGTAAGATATCCCGTGGAGTTTCGGGTCATTCCGAGAACTTTTGTTTTCTGCACATAAAACAACATCATGGCAATTCTGCTGAAAACAGCGTCAGTCCGGGTTAGTTCCATTCAAATCATACAAGTTAGAGTTCAAAACAAGGGCAAAAGTGTTTGGAAAAGTAGATACGTTAGAGACGTATCAACTCCCCCAAGTTTAAACCCTTACTTGTCCTCAAGCAATTCAATTGACAAACTGAAAGAAATAAAGAAAAACTTTTACAAACTCTGTTTGCTCTTGTTGTTGTAAATATAGCAAGCTAGCATTCAATTTTTCAGCAAAGATTATAACTAACCACATTTGCAATAATTCTCAGGTCTCATGATTACTCGTATCAATAACATAATCAACTAGCAAGCCATAATAATAAATCTCGGATGACAACACTTTCTCAAAACAATCATAATATGATATAACAAGATGGTATCTCACTAGCCCTTTCTGAGACCGCAAAACATAAATACAGAGCACCTTTAAAGATCAAGGACTGACTAGACATTGTAATTCATGGTAAAAGAGATCCAATCATAGTCACACCCAATATAAATTAACAGTAATGAATGCAAATGACAGCTGCGCTCTCCAGCTAGTGCTTTTTAATAAGAGGGTGATGACTCAATATAAAAGTAAATAGATAGGCCCTTCGCAGAGGGAAGCAGGGATTTGTAGAGGTGCGAGAGCTCGGTTTTAAAATAGAGGTGAATAATATTTTGAGCGGTATACTTTCATTGTCAACACAACAACCAAGAGATGGCGATATCTTCCATGCTACACACATTATAGGCGGTTCCCAAACAGAATGGTAAAGTTTATACTCCCCCTCCACCAACAAACATCAATCCATGGCTTGCTCGAAACAACGAGTGCCTCCAACATACATCAGGTCCCAAGGGGAGTTTTGTTTGCAATTATTTTGATTTAGTTTGCATAAAGCATGGGACTGGGCATCCCGGTGACCAGCCCTTTATCTTGTGAGTGAGGAGCGGAGTCCACTCCTCTTGAGAATAACCCGCCTAACATGGAAGATACAGACAACCCTAGTTGATACATGAGCTATTCGAGCATACAAAACAGGATGATTATTTGAAGGTTTAGAGTTTGGCACATAGAAATTTACTTGGAACGGCAGGTAGATACCGCATATAGGAAGGTATAGTGGACTCATGTGGAATAACTTTGGGGTTTAAGGAGTTTGGATGCACAAGCAGTATTCCCGCTTAGTACAGGTGAAGGTTAGCAAAAGACTGGGAAGCGACCAACTAGAGAGCGACAACAGCCATGTACATGCATTAAAAGTAATGAACATTGGATGCAAGCATGAGTAGGATATAATCCACCATGAACATAAATATCGTGAAGGCTACGTTGATTTGTTTCAACTACATGCGTGAACATGTGCCAAGTCAAGTCACTTAAATCATTCAAAGGAGGATACCACCCTGTTATACCACATCATAACCATTTTAATAGCATGTTGGCACGGAAGGTAAACCATTATAACTCATAGCTAATCAAGCATGGCATAAGCAACTATGATCTCTAATTGTCATTGCAAACATGTTTATTCATAACAAGCTGAATCAAGAACAATGAACTCATCATATTTACAAAAACGAAAGAGGTCGAGTTCATACCAGCTTTTCTCATCTCAATCAGTCCATCATATATCATCATAATTGCCTTTCACTTGCACGACCAAACGATGTGAATAATAATAAGAGTGCATGTGCATTGGACTAAGCTGGAATCTGCGAGCATTCAATAAACAGGAGAAGACAAGGCAATATGGGCTCTTTTGTCAGATAAATAATAGTGCATATAAGAGCCACTTCAAAAATTTAATCAAGGTCTTCTCCTACTGACCCCCAAAGAAAAGAAAAGAAATAAAACTATTTACACGGGAAAGCTCCCAACAAGCAAAAGAAGAACAGGAAATATTTTTGGGTTTTCTTTTTAATTACTACTACAGCATGGAAAGTAAATTAATTAAAAGCTACAACTATTTTTTTTGGTTTTTTCTTAAGGTTTATCAAACACATAAGAATAAAACATAAAAGAAAATAAACTAGCATGGATGATACAATGAAAAAGTATGAGCACCGACATCTGGCAATGAGTGTGTGTGTGAATATAAATGTAATGTCGGTGAGAAATACGTACTCCCCCAAGCTTAGGCTTTTGGCCTAAATTGGTCTATGGCCACGGCTGGCTTGACTGATATCCATAATAATAGTTGGGGTCGTACTGAGATGCAGCGGCTATCGCCTCCTGAGCTGCAGCGTGGCGGTGAGCGGTCTCCGCTCTCCTCTCGTACTCATCTACCTCCTCTCTGGTAATAGTATATCCTCATCTTGCCTGATAATCAAAGAAAGCAGGAGCAGGGAGAGTAATATGGACAGCACAGCGTCTGTCAAAGATTAGTCGGTTCTGGAGAGGTGATTCGTTCCTCTCAACAAAATGGTGGGAAATCATAGAATCAAAATCTAAATAAGCAGGAGGCAACTCCATGTCTCCTTCACGAATGTCTATCTCAAGAAATTTAGCTAAGCAGGTTGCATAAATTCCTCCAGACAAATCTCCATTATGTCTATTATGACGCAACCTACGAGCTACAATGTCTCCCATATGATAAGATTGGTCTCTTGACACAGCACTCCTGAGAATGCTAAGGTCAGGGACACACATGTGACATGCTTCATCCTTAGCATTTATGCACCTACCTATGAAGAGAGCAAAATAATGTATAGTAGGAAAGTGAATGCTCCTTATAGTAGCTTGCGTTATATCTCTGGATTCCCCTACAGTTACACTAGCAAGAAAGTTTCTAAATTCAGATTTAGGGGGATCCCTAACACTACCACATTGTGGAAGTTTGCAAGCAAGAGTGAAATCCTCTAGGTCCATGGTATAAGATTTATCATAAAGATCAAACATGACTGAAGGAGAATTACGTGAAGATGAATACTCAAATCTCCTCACAAAAGAGCTTGTGAGCTCATGATACTGGGGGCATTTGTCTGCCTCAAAGTCCTCAAGATCGGCATTATGCAAATATGCGTTAAATTCTTCTTTAATTCCCGCTTGATCCATAAAATTTTCAGAAGGCCACTCACAAGGACGCACTGGAGCGTCTCTTGGTGGCTCTTCGTCAGCATCACACATTGCAAGTCTGGGTCCTTACTTCTTT